ACTGACAAGAGCCACATTGAGCCACACTCCAAGCGGCTCTGGTCTCAGAGTATAGCCCTATGCAAGCCTATGCGGGATCACTGCAAATGCATGGGAGTAGCAACATCAGTGGGCGCCTAATGACCGATAGGAAGCGATAGGAAACGAGAAGACAAGAAGATAGTTGTGGACGGAGCGATGAAGCTTTGATCTGTGAGCACTGGAAAAGGGCAAAGCTGCATACTTGTAGAACTAAAGTTCTGCTTTAAAAAGGGAACCTGAAGTAAAACCTAAGCTGGTAAAGTGAATGCATATCCATATGCCATCTTGCAGAGTGGATTATCCATATGCACGGACGCTACTTCCGAGCACAGAATGGATTGAGAATTAGCAAAAATAGCAGAAGAAATGACATGTCATGGTATATCAGCTCTGATTCCTCCACCTGGTTACCCATGTTTTAAAAGAAAACAGTTCCCTTTTTCTAATTATCATTTCCAAAAAAATATTATGTTAAAGTGGTAAAAACTAATGTTAAATGTTAGAAACTAATCACAAAAGGACACAGGGAAGCATGTACTTTGTACAGATCAGAAATGTTGTTTGTGTACATTTAACTTATTGCTCCACTGTAGCACAATTCTTATCAATTTAAATCAAAATGCATAGCCAAGTGTCACTACAACGCGGTCCTCTAGGGGGCAGCAATGCACTGCAGGACATACAGGGTTTTGCCACTATGCACTTTATAAAAGGCAGCTAAAAGTAAACTATTCTATTAAATAGGATGAGGAAGCAATCACAAAAAAGCTGAATAACGGCATGCAAACATTACTAATGCATCTCTGTTTTACATATACAAGAATAAAATGGAAGCACATACAGTACGTTTCACTAGTGTAATCAGAAAAAACAAAACGTGTTGGGGATTCCTATATTTAAAAGCAAAAATTATACCTGTTCGTTGAATGGACTGAATACGGAAGGGCAGGGCACATCACTGCGCTGGTGGAGAGCACATAAGTTGGCATTGGTGCACTGGCAGCGAGTGCTGATGCATGCATCAGTGCAATGGCAGTGAGCACAGAGGCGGGCAATGGGTCAGTAGCAAGTGAAGTGGGGGCATGAAGGAGAGGAAGGGGTCTGGCGCTGCTGTGAGAAATCGGGGTTCATGTGCAGGTGTGCTGCAGGAGAAGGATGGTGATCAGCTGCAGTAGTGAGAGAGCACGAAGGGGGTGGGAATTAAAGTGCAGTGGGGAGGTTTCAGGCATGGTGGTGAGAAGGAGAGTGCAGGCACAGGGGTGCTGGTGCAATGATGGGGATGGGGGTGGTTGCAGACACAATGGTGAGTGGTGCTGTCAGCTGTAACTCCAGATACACACCGTAGCTGGTGCCAGACTAGAGATCACAGTACCTGTGTAAGCATCAGTAGAAGCTGGGGGGTATGGAGGTGGAGTGAGATGATGGGGCCAGATATCAGAAGGTCATGTCCAATTGCTCCACAGACTCACCTGCTGAAGGGACAAGCAGGATGTGCTTCCCACTGGGTAGAGCTGTTGTGGATGGTCTACATTTACACATCAATGCTACCATGTATACATAGTAGCATCACAATGTTATTACCTTCCTGCCACTACTGCACATGCATCAGGTATTGGTGCCCTGTACAGAGCAGAAGTCTCCAGCAATGGCACAGCCAGTGACACCAGGCGACAACACAAGCTGCAGTTCACGGGCTTCCCCTCTGCACAGGTTCACATGGATAGTATTCCTTCTGTGAGATCTCCTGCCTATTGTCCTATGGGCTCTGGTCCACACTCATCTGCTACCTCTGATACAGCAGCCCATTCCTCAATTCGAATTGGGTCTCCGTTAATGAAGCAATTGAGTGGGATGCCTTTTAGATGTATACAAGTGGGTCCTTTTTTAAGTCCATTAATAGCAATGCCCGATTCTACTTGCAATCCTGAGCTGAACAGGAATATACCAAGAATCCCACCGAAGTAAATCATCAATCCTAATAATAGCTTGCCGGGTCCTCAACCTGCAATAAATGCATTTAATGCAAAAAAGCTTTTTTATCAAACAGCATCTATGTTTGAACAAGACTTTGGATAAACCATAAAAGGTATTATCTATCATTAAGGCGAGTTACTCTATTCTCTACAAGGCTTCACTGCCATATACTCCTGAATGAATTCTTAGATGACATCAAATTCCTAAAACTAGGCTAGGCTCAAATCACTCACTTAGATAACCTGTTTACAGAGGATGAACTTCAAACCGCCATTCAATCCTTTCCGGGGAGAAAAACCCGAAGCCCTGATGACTTCCCAAAGATTGGTATAATCATAATTTAGACACGCTGATCCAACTGCTTAAAGTCTATGAACAAGCGATCTCTCTGGGCCCACTACCAAAATCCATGAGAGCAGTGCTGATCATTGGGCGTCCTGGTAAGCCTCGTAAAGATCCAATAAAATTATGGGACTTGTATCACCCCATATCACTGTTTAATTGTGATGTCAAGATTCTAGCCAAACTTCTACGCAGATGCCTCTCTAACGGCTTGTCCACCCTATGTGGACTGACTTGCATAGAAAAAAATAATTTTCTGTGTGTCCTGTTCACATTGCAACGCTGCCTTCAGTCATAAGAGTGAAGGAAATGTCAGTGGCATTTCAATAAAGTAAAAAACAAATGTGAACAATGTCTGACGTAACAACACATGGCACTACCCCACGTCCACAACACTGGCCTGCATGCTAAAATTGATCATTTTAGCAAGTGGCTAGTGTGAACTTAAAAGGTGAACTATGAGGTGAGTGATTTCCACTCATCCTCATAGTTAGAGCCGACCTGTAACAAAGAAGCTGTCACAGATCGGCTCTATTGATCGAGAAGTGAGCAGAAACATGCACCGATCCGTTCACTTCCCGATCGTTTCCCTACAGTGAGCGGTCACTGTCAGTCACCACTCCCCGCAGGGATTCCCCCCTCTCCTCTCAGATCTTCCAGCGCTGAGTGGAGGAAAGAATGGGGGAGGGGGCGGGCACAGCTGACTCTGCCTCTAGATTGGGAGAGCCAGCTGTCACTCACGGAGCTGGGTGGATCCATACAGTAGTGTCGGAATCCGTCATGGCTACGGCGCTCTGAGTATATAGCGGGCAATAGCCCTGCTATATACTGAGCTTTGGGTCACGGGAGGAGGTTAGTGTATGTCCTTCTGTGATCCTAAAGAGAACTATGGGGAAAAACACTTACCCCATAGTTCTCTTTTAAGTAATTTTGAACCTAGTGGACCGAGACAAAAATGGGCTTTACAGTATGCCAGGCAGACATACCTTTACAAATATTAAGAGATTGAAATTAAACATGCATTTAGCGCAGGAGTCTGGGATCTAACCTTGTGGTGTCTTTGGACATTGGACACAAGGCCTTTGACTAAGTAGAATCGGAAACACTATGGACAGTACTGAACAGAATGGGGTTAGGACACAAATTAATTAAAAGGATTATAGTTACTCTATACTGACACGCTACACAAATAATATTTTCATGAGGAGGTCAGAAATGGCTGGAAATGTGTCAGGACAGATCTCATTTAAATGGTGAGGAGCTAAGTTACTAAATGTCCACTGGATAGATTACGGGCATTATTTTAATGCCCAGTTCCACACCCCCACAGAGGTCCCTATGTATTTTTGATCATTTTTAGCATACTCGCCTTTTTCTTCTGGCTGGTCCCATGGCCTGCAATTTCCTCTTGCTTCTGGTCCAGTATTGGGGAGTCCTTAATGATGCAGAGAGCCTCATGTAACAATGTTTGCTCTCGACTCTAGATCATTGTATTGTGAGTGCAAGGTGATGTGAAGACACGGCCTCCTGGGGGCAGGTCCATGGCATCCTAGTCTCACAGGAAGAGAACTGGTGCTGGATCATGGAGTGATGACTCTTCAGGGGATGGCACCAGAAAGAAGGTATTATAACCAGAGCTACACTAAGCTGTATTTCTAAACACAGCTGGGGAATGAAATAGAAAAAAAAATAGGAATGGAATTGGGCTTTAAATGTTATGACTGATTTATACACTACTGTATACATGAAATAAATAAATTAGCATTGTGCTGGAGAAATTCCTCTGACACATTCTGCAGAGACAGCATACACAACATTGTAGGACAATTTAGGTAAGAGTGAATAGCAACAAACACCCGAAACAGATTTCTTCATTTTGTGTTGTATTGAACAGAGTTTGCTTCCCTGCTGGGTCCATACTGCTGTCCAAAAGCCCAACAGTGCCATCAAAAGAAAAATAAACCAATCTAGAGAGAAACACGGAGGCTCCCATTGTTGACCCTTTTGCCTCAATACTTTGAGTCAATAACCTTGAATAAGAATGCAGAAAAATCTTCTGACTTTTTTTTTGATGTTCCTGATCCGTTTACTTATTTAAGGTTGGTGACTCAAAGTAGTGAAGCCAGCATAACAGCCAGGCAACTGGTATTTTTAGAAGCACATCATTTTCTATACAAAGTTCTCCAGGGAAAATTATTATAAACCCTTGCAGTGGGGCTACCCCCGCATTGCAAGGGTTACGTGCTCGTTTTGGTCTAGGGAGAAAAATAAAATTATACTCACCTGATCCTGGAAGCCAGATTGCTCTTAGACCGGTCCCTGGAACATCTCTTACCCTCCGTTGCAGAGGTCTAAGGTTCTGTAAATTATCACATTCTATACACAGTGCATAGGATGTGAGGACACAGAGGGACATACCATTGCTGCAGAAGGAGACAGACAGGAGGGAGCGCTGTCACAGCCGCCAGCTCCGAGGTTTGGGTGAACATAACTTTGATGTTTTCCTCCCTAGACAAAAGGAGCACTTAACCCTTGCAGTGCATGGGGTAGCCACACTGCAAGGGTTAATAATAATAATAATATTCCCTGTAGTTCTGCTTTAAATAGACTTTGCTGAGAGAGCAGAATAGGAAGAAAAAAATTATAATTTACATATAACTCACATTTGCCAAAGAAACTGCTTGCCAGCCTTGCTTGCTGAATAGAGACATTGTGATAAGTCGATAAGTAACATGGTTCTTGTGGAAGCTGTGGAAGTCTGAGGCTGTGGAATTGGCAGCTGGTCCTTATCACTGGTGCAGAGATCCCACCTATGGACATACATACAAACACATGACAATTAAACTCACATAGATAAGCATTCCAAATCATCATTCATATTGCATCGTTATGACACTTTTTTTTAATAAGACACACGTGGTACATGTTGTCATAGGCAGAAATTCTCAGTATTACTTTGTAAAGGGAAAAAAACTTTTTTTACAATTTTTAATTTTACAAATAGTCATAGACATACACTGAGTGGCCAGATTATTATGACCACCCCATCAGTATTTCGTTGGGCCACGAGATGACTCCATGAGATGACATCGTTGGGCCGCCTCGTGACTCCACGAGATGTTGAAAGGTGATGCGAGGAATCTGACATTGCACTGTTGCCCTTCTGTTGTCTTGTACCAATCTTGCCACTCTCCGCTCTGCCCTAACATTGACTAGTCGCTGACGGACACAATTCGCACGTTCAGACCCAGATTTTCGGCTGACAGTCCAGTCTTTAAACACTTTAACAACAGCTGCTCTTGAACATTTAATGAATTCTGCTGATTTTGCTGATACTCGCTTCATGGCTCCGAGCGCCAACAATCATCCCACGTTCAAAGGCTGTTAAATCGCGTGGTTTACCCATATCTTCAGAAAAAAATCACTTCTACTGTCGTGGTAAACAACCTGCTTCCCTATTTATAATGGTCTGGCCCTCTAGCAACTTCAGCGCAAAATTATAGCTAATTTGCTTACAAACGTCAGGTGGTCATAATAAGCTGGCCACTCGGTGTATATGTAAATATGACAGCGCTTAAAGTGTCACTAAACTCAGGAGTTAAATCTTAAAAATGCATTCAAGTACCCGTATTAGTAACGAAGCTTATTTGTGTATCACTCAGCTGTAGATCCTCATATCATCTCTGAATTCATGCTGGCACTGTCCTTTCTTCTGGAGGGTGACTACTTTTGTTCTCCATGATCTCTGTGTGTGTTGTAAAGTAGTCATTGCTCCAAGCTTGCCCCGTGATGGACTACAGTCTCATGTTTAGCTTAATAATTTGTATTGAGATTGTAGTGTTACGTGCAGAGGGCGGCTGAAAAGTATAAAAATTTTACTTGGCAGCATGCCGTCTCTTGCATGCAACACTGAGGCCAGCTTCACACTTGGGCGATCTATAACCGCGCAGCAATCATGCACGAAACCACGCAGATGGTCGCACGGTCACGGAACTGCACACCACTGCTGATTGCGCTGGCGGTGGCATTATTTTCTAATGGCACCCAAGTCGTGCCAGACACATCGTGTGGTTTCCCGCCGTGATTCCGCTCATGCAATCACGCACAATCGCAAAAAAGGTACGTGTACCTTTTTTCAATCGATTGCCGTGTCTATGTAGCCCCTTTAAAATCAATGGGGCCGCGGGGCAACCGCTGTGTGCAATCGCCCAAGTCTGCACCAGCCCTAAAAGGTGCCTATACACTGCACGATTCTTGTACGAGAATCGCTGGAAATCCCGCGATCGTACGAGAATCGCCGGTGTGAATGAAGACGTGCGACCGTTTCTACTGTACGATCGCACGTCTTTTGTCTAAGGAGCATGCTAGAAAACCATTACGATTTTCGGCTGGTTTGAATGATGCTCGGGAGACAAATGCCGAACTGGCCGGTGTGCGCACGCGCACACTGCCCGTTCAGCATTGCGGCCATCGGAAGCCCGCCCCCCTGATCGCAAGTACGATCTGCCTGTCCAAGATGGGCAGATCGTACGTTTTTTAAATTACTTTACAACCATCGCAAGACTAAGGTCTTGCGATGGTTGTAAAGTGTATGGGCACCTTTAAGGTGCCCATACACCTTACGATTATCGGACTAAACTTTTCGTCCGATGATCGAACCGTCGTACGATTTTCGTACAACGGCCCCATCCTGCCCCGATTATCGAAAGGTTCAATCAGCGGTAGTTAAAAAAAACCACCAGGACGACTTGCGGTAATTGACCGCAATTATTTTCGTTTGCGCAGTGTTAATCGTACGACTTTTGACGGACGGAAACGCCACCAACCATGCGAACATCGTACGATCAACCAAAGTTTTCAAACATGCTTGACCGTCAAAAGTCGTACGATTGTACAGTACTAAGGGTCGGGCACTCTATTCACACGTTACGATTGTCGTACGAAAAGTCGATCGCATACGATTATCGTACGATAATCGTAAGGTGTATGGGCACCTTTAGAGGGAGAGATGTGCAACCCAAGCTGTACATTGCTCTGATCGCATCACCTGCCCCTCCTCACTATCCTCCATTCACAAAATGTCTTGACTTCTTTCTTTAAAGGACTTTGCCGTACTTACCCTTGCCATAATCCCCAATTTTATGGCAAGACAGGAGGCTTCATATTTTGCATATCTCTCTTTACTGATTCCTCATAGCAGCAAAGAAACATAACAGAAACAGAAATAACCAATAGCAGCACACAGCATATTATATAAGTCCACCCACACTAAGATCCCTCCTCTTTCTTTGCTGCTAGCCTCATGGCAGGTCAGTACTCGTACATCTCGCTCCTGTATTGCTGTTTTCTTCCTGTTGTAATTGGCTCTAATAGCCACCATACTACTGTGCTTTCTTGCACTGTTCCTCTCTCCCCGACCCCCCACCCGGGTCTTCTCAATCCAAGTCCTACCTCTCCCCACAGCCTTCTGCTGACTCTTTTTCCCTGTCTGGAGCCGCCGTGCGGGCATTAGCTCCGCCGCCATCTTCTTGTAGATCGTTCTGCTGGCCATGGCGGCCATTTTGTTGTAGCCGCAGCACGTTTTTCGTTAGCCCCGCCCCTTACAGACGAATTTGTGTTAGCCCCGCCCCGTCGCCATTTTTCTTGTGGTTTGAGAGATATGCAAAATATTCGCCTCCTGTCTTTAATAAAATCCCAATTATTCGGTCACTAAAGCTAGAATAATAAACAATTCTAATCGCAAACTGTTTCAATTCAATAATTCTGCATTCAACTATCAATCATTTTTGAACTGCAAATCTCTCAAGTTGTTGAGCTGTGCCTTACAATTTACAGGTTTAAATGCAGAAACAAAAAGCCTTTTTTCTTGTTTTGGGTCCCACAACTTCTAAAATGTATAAGGGCCAGTTCACATGAGTTTCAGGTCCTGATCGTGTCCGGAACAGGTGCGGAACAGCAGACGCGGTGCTATGTGTTTGGGCGCGTTTTTGATGCGTTCCAGTTTTTTTTTTGTATTCTTTTTTTTATGCTGGAGTGGGGCTGTCAGTATGTTAGCTGCAGTGCAGTGCGTTTTTGATGCGTTTTGCATTTCCTGACCGTACAAAATGTGACATGCAGTATTTTTCTGTCGTAACCTGAACGGACTGCGCACGTGAGAGCTGTAGCCCATAAAACACATAGGGATACATATAGGGATACATTGGGATGCATTTTTAGTGCACCAGCGTACGGATCAGGTCAGCACAGAAAAGGACGTCGTGTGAACAGGCCCTAAAGCTAAATCTTTTTGCTTTGAAAGAAACTCTGGCTGTTTACTCTGTACGAAAAAAAAGCTAAAATATGAAAAAGCCTTTAGAAATGAAAACAATCCCAGCGAATGTGTTTCATACACTTCTGGGAGGAAAAAACCCCCCCATAAACTACAAAGGGTGATATTTTGGCAGAAATTCTTGGCTAACTTTGGAAACCAAACATAATACAAACACAAGTTACATTATGAATTATTGAACGCCATTGTGACCAAAAGATGAATGCAATATGCAAAGCCAAAGCTGGTAACCAAGCTTAATGTGTGGAGTGACGGCGGCAGGTAACAAGAGACCAATTACCATAAATTAACGAATCAAAGACTGGAAGGGAAGAGAATTAAACCTACTGCAACCTTCTTACTTCTGTAGATGGGAGCTTGCCTATTATTGAGAGTGCACAGAGCCAATTCTCCAAGCCCTTGTAACTTCTCCTACTGAAAATACACTGCGAGCCAATAAGCGTAGTTTTATAAGGCAATGTGGGCATAAATGACATTGCTGATGGAAGGCTCACACAAAACAGCAGCTTTTACTAATGAGGAAAATGTTTACTTGACGCACAGATATATGACAGCTGCCATTTTCTCATGAAGTGTAAGGTGCAAGCTCCAAGGCTGTCATCCTGATTTCTTTTATCAACATATCACCCTTGTACATTAGCAAACCACTTTTAAATCACTGTAAGAAAGCTCTGGTTGTAAAGCTGAACTTCAGGCATATAAAAACTTTTATTCAAATATATTCCTCAATAGGCACATAGGATATAAATCCACTTTGTGTGCACTCAATTGCAAATATTACCAAATAAATGTATCAGTGACATCATCACTGTAGTGTACATAGTCTATGCCGAGAGCAGAGCTGTGGGAGGGACCAAGCAGGCTCACCCACTACAGGATGCCTGCAGAAAACTACAGGAAGGGGGCGGATACAAGACCAGTCACCCTGCACGAGGAGAGAAAGCAGCACTGACTGGTCTGTATTACAGGAAGCTCCTGCACAGAGGCAAGGTTTAATGATGGATTACTCCACAGATCTGAAAAAAAAAGTGCAAAAAGCTCACCAAGATTTAAGTATACATACACATGGCTCTTTTTTTTAGATAATACTTATGTTGCTGTAATCCAGCCTAAAGAATCCCATGTACTCTGCCTCAGTGCAGAAGTTCCTGTAATAAAAATTGGTCATCGCTTCTCTCCCCTTGACCAGAGTCTCCGATCTTGTATACACCACATTGTAGTGGGTAGACTTTGTGCGGATCCTCTGGTATGACATCACCCATACGTGCCTGATGATTCTGATAGGCAGGAAATGCAAATCAATTAGAATGGGTCTGGCACCAATGCCCGGCCAAATATTCCCACCTGATGAATACAGAGGAGGGAATTGTAATGGAACTAAATCATTTCCCTAGGGTACAAACTAGGAAAAGATATGAGGAATAAGGAACCCAACCGCAGCTCTTCACTCTGTACAGGTTAATGCAGCCCAGTGAGGATATC